CCTAGATAATGTTGGTATAACTTTTGGTCCAACCCTTTTGTATGTACATTATATTCATGCTTAAGATATTGATGTTAGATTGTGTAAATTAATCATGTACAAAATATGCAATAAAATATTATTAAACTAAATTAAAATAAAGTATACTTTGCTTATAGCGGTGTGTATTTCTTACGATATGTCCACCTTATTTCATCCGCAAAATTAACAGTTTGTCTAAAACACACATTTCTAGCATATAAACCGATATGTTTTCCATTTAAACACAATTATGGTGGTGCATTTAAATCATGTACTGTCTAAAAAAATCTTTGTTTTAAAAGAAACCGTGAACAGATGCAAAGATTGAACACATCTCGTTTAAAAAGTTGAGGCTGTAATGAAATGTCGTCGATTGTAAACAGATGATGATTTTCTACTTGCTACGTTTATGTTTTAACATTATTGGCTTTTTATCATTAATTGAAAAAGATAATCATGCTTGCAAGAGTAATGTTACACAAACAGATTAACAATGTGCTATGATTCAAACTGAAAAAAAAATGTTTATTTACTTTTACATAATATAATATATTATAGATTAAGGAAAAAGAAAAAAAATAATACAAAAAATACATACCGGTTATAAAAACTGAAAAATGAAGAGAAAAAATGATTAAAACATCATAACCAAAGTCATTTGTAAAACAAACAATAGTGTAGTATAAATTGATAAAAAAACAAACCAAAACAAAAACCATAGTTTTTGTCAAAAGTTGAAGTTTAACATCATTTCAATTATAAAATATATCAGTTGACGCAAATATACCCGCACTTACTATTATGTATCTATATTATTAATATGTGCACAGGTCAGAATAATAAAACTTAAATCTGCTTTTCTTATTTTGTATTATAATTTCTATAAAATCATTGATTATCAGGCATAGAATTTTTATCAATTAGTTTTGTTCAAAACAAAACAAAATAAAGGAGGCCCAGATGCTACAAATGATATGTCTAAGAAGTAAAGTACACTGTGTAAAGAATATGCAGTAAATCAAGTACAATGGTAACAAAAGAAATAATTTAATTTATTCAATTAAAAAATTAAAAAATAGATAAACGTTACTGGTCATGTGTATATTTAATCATCTGAGAATTTATATTCAATATTAAAATATTGCCTTTAAAATAATGTAATTTAAATACTGATAATGAAGAATATCAAACATTGAATAATATGTCCCCTTAATACATACAAGACTTATTGGGCATATTTAATTTTCAGATCAAAATATCACAGAAATTTAGTTTCGCTTCATAACTATTCATTTACAGTGCCTTTTTTTTACTATTTCCAAGGTATTTTCTGAAAAGGATAATTGTAAATGAAGCTTGAGTATTGTAATTTTACCTGCTAGTCACACTGACGTGTACCATTATATTTATAATCATCACTATAGCAACGTTCATTCATGGGAGGAATAATTACACAACTTGTATACACATCTTTAATACTTGCATTAATTGTATCAATAAATCAAATAATTTACCATAATTTATTTTTAAAGTGTGTTCTCTATTTATAAGCACGTGCTGCTTTCTTATAATTCAACACAGACTGAGCATGATATACTTGACGTTACTTATCAAGAAATGTTATTTTCACTTTAACTTATATGAAGTACAATGTATATCAATAAGTTCATCAAATAAAACCATTTTAGCGAATGTTCGATTTATTGTTAAATTGTATATTGAATGGTTCTGTGATGTGATACTCATTTCGTAAGTTAACTACTAAAACATATATTAAATTTCAATAACTATAATATCGCAAGTTCAATTTCTTTAAAAAATAATAAATTATTATCACATATATACTGTACATTACGGCGCAGTTTGAAATTAATATTACGGCATGTACTACATAGCAAAGACCATATAATTTTTCTCAGGTTCAATCATATGTATATTATTGATGAGGAATTGTCATAATAGCCAACAAATTGTTCATCTAACACCATACTCCATACCTGATGACAATGATAGTAAATTTTTAATTGGCTTTTCAGATTTATCAAATAGAACAGACTATTAAGTCGTATCTGATTATTAGTTTAACATCGTAAGCACTGTTATTACATAAATTACTAATGGTCATAAAAAATAAAAGCGTTTGTTTTCACTGAACTGACTGTATAATGATCATAAACATACTCTTGTGACAGGCGCTATAATACAGAGCCTTTAAACAATCTTGACAAAAAACTTGACAATACAAAAATGTAAACAATTACAATACGATTCGGCATTAAATTATTTTAATCACAAAACGCATTATTTAATAGCACGAAAAATGAAAATGTTGTCCAGTGCCAATATTTATACGTTCAATACGAAGCTCTGAAATACTCGTAGCTGGACTATAAGAATACTAATTCATGCAATGACAGCATACATCATTACAATTACTGCATGTGTGTATTTGTGTGATTTGATAAACCTGCATATCATTCCCAATTTGGGAAACGATCTTTATATTGTCTCAAACGCATAATGATTTTATTTTATTTTCATGAACACCTTTTCGTATACCATTTAGTCAGTCGTTTGCTTAACAGAAAACTGTACACAGTCAAATCATGATCAATCGCAATTTCTCTTAGATAAAACACGCGTTCTGAAATATAAGAGCGGAAATACGTTCAAATGTGACAACATTCCGAAATGAATACTGATTACTGACTAATGATTTTACAATCCGTTTACAAGATCGCTGGTTTAAAAAACGTATCTGAATATATATGAATATTCAGATAGGTTTATTAACAAATACAAAAATGTAACTCGCTAAAAATGGCAAAGTTCAGTTGTGAGATAATTCTCAGCATAAAGCTGTTAAATAAAGTATGATCCCGTTCACCATTCACGAGGCTAATATTAGAGCAATGATAACGCATCATAGCAGATAGGACAGACCTTTAGGCGGAAAAACTAGAAAGGGTTTATATGACAAAAACAAACACATATGTCTTCCACAGCAAGGTATAATACTGATCACTCTTGTGAAGTTTTATCGAGCCAGACAATAATTTTCGATTAATAGCTCTTAAAATTAGCCTTTTACTGCAGCGAAGCAGAACGTGCCCGCGATATGCAAAACAAAGAAATGGTAGTGATCACTCCTGCGATGTTTCATTGAAAGCCCGCCAGCAGTTGGATCTTTGAAAGCTGGACACGATTTTTTTCTATTTATAGCTAGGGCGGTCATTTTTTGACAGCGAAGCAGAAAGTGATGTCAATCTTGAAAACTAGCTATAATATTTCTATCAATCCTGTTAGTTTCATTGAAATCAAACCAACAATTTATTGTGTGAAAGCAGGACAATTTTTTATATTTAATGTTATGATCGTCATTTTGTGCAGCCAAGCAGAACGTATCGATGATATGCACAACTAAGGATGATACCGATTACTTCATTGAAGTCCCGCCAGCGTTTTGACCTGTGAAAGCCAAACAATATTTTCAATTTTTATCTCTGGCGGTCATTTTTGCAGCGAAGCGGAACGTGCATCAAGGGGTCGTACTGATTATTTCTGTGACGTTTCCTTGAAAATCCGCTAGTAGTTGGACATGTGAAAGGAGAACAATATTGTTTCTTTATTCAGCTCTGACCGTCATTTTGTGCAGCGCAGCGGAACGTGCCGGTGATATATGCACAACTACGTATGGCACCGATGACTTCTGTGAAGTTTGGTTGAAATTCAACAAAAACAACTCAAAAATTAATCAGGGTACATCACAAGTGCATAATAATTTTTGTATATCTGATCGTGTGTGTGTGTGCGCGCGCGCGCGTGTGTGTGCGTGCGCGCGCGCGCGTGCGTGCGAGCGAGCGTGCGTGCGTGCGTGTGTGTGTTATTGTTCTAAATCTAAATTATAATATATTGTAATTAAGATTGGTGTATGAAGATGTACAGTAGTTATATTTGTAATATTTTACTATTTAACTTCGATAAAAGATCTTTCAGAATATCAGGCCAAAACAGAAATGCATATTGGTATTTGAGACATAATCAGAATTAAAGTGCAGCTCAGTAGCTAGCTGCTTTAGACAAAGCTTTTATTTTCTCATTAATCATTTGAATTAAATAAATCAATCGTTGCTTTCTGAATTTAACTGCAGAAAGTAGATCTAACACACAGTACCCAATAACGTAAAGGTTATTTTTAAAGAATTTAACCATTGATATACATTTGAAGTTTCATTGACAAAGGCTAAAAATGAAGAAAACTATATTGTACGAAAAAGGGGGATGTGATAAAATATACTTACAGTTTATCCCATCTAAAAAAAAGAACACGAATGAATAAATGAAATAAATCATGGGAAAATAGTATTAAATTTTGTTAATTACATGAATAAAAAAGTCACTTTTTGCAGCACTGTAAAAACAATTAAGTTCAATGATGATTAATAGTTGTAATAATTTGAATAAAATTGAAGAGCTTCAAAGTTCAACATGATTTCAGATGCTATTGTTTGGGGGAACAAATAACACGAACCAGTTGTATCATCAAAAAGACTTTCGGGCTTAGTAAGCATGCATTTATTTGCAAATGCTATTGTTTTGATTACACGAAGCCATGTAAGCTCTGATTTATTAATGCCTTAATTATGTGTGCACATTTTCATTTGTTGAAGACTTTGGAATTAAATCATAATATGAATACATTGTAAATACTAAAGTAGAATAATTATATTTACAGATCTAGAGTAATTTTGTATGTGTATAAATAACTTTATATAGCTTTTTCTTGAAAAAAATGTTGCAATCCTGTGAATATGTTAAACTATTAAACATATCTTTGAATCAACCATTGAAGTGTTGATTGATAGTTTATCCGTATTTGATAAGAAAACACACATAAATTCTGGAGCAATTACATGTATGTCAACTGCTGAAATATCAGAAATGGCATACCTTACCGTATTTATAATATCTAAGTTTCACTTTAAACGTTTGACGTAACTGTTTTTATGTAAAATATTACAAAATGAATCTTTTGTATAAATCTTTATAAATCAAATCATTACAAACAAACGCCAAAAATACTTAATACTTGCATATAAACTTTAATTCGATCACCGACTTTCCATGCATCTCCACATTTGTCAAACATCCTGAAAATACATTATAGATAACATGTTTAAACAAACGAATATGGTATATTTTTACACAATTAATAGTCTTATTAATCAATTTCGTGGCAAAGAGAATACAGTTATGTCAAATATAAGAGTCTTAACTCTAAGCAGTGCTTTAATAAGAGAAAATACAATGTTTGTTTCCATATAAGTTTACATTGATACTGACTCACTATAATAATATTTGTCAAATAGGCTTATCATTGTGTGTTCCAAGACAAAACAAAACACAAAATAACGATGATTTTCTAGTAAATTAAACAAACAACTCTATTTATAGTGAAAACATTGTGACAAAACTTCAGTCAAAGAATTAAATTATATACTTTGATCGTACATTAATTTCAAGTAACTGTTGTATCTATTTGAATGTATGCTAAATAATTATGTAAGAACTATGTTATTCGTTCTTGTTCAATGCATACATATGTGATCGTGGATAAATATTCTTTTCATTCCAGGTGGTGTTTTTACTATTATAAATACATACACCCTACAATAATCAAAATGCCTTTGATAATAATTCAAGTTTGACAAGAGAGGCATGTTGTGACCCTAAAATTATACTAAATAAAATAAAACACATCCTTAATAAAGACATCAACATCGTATGACACTTAATGTACAAAATACAAGCGTCTGGTGTGTTTTAATCTAAAACGTGAACATTCTTACCACCTTTTATGAGTGGATAGTAAAATAAATTGTAACGTGTATGCAATATATACTTTTGATAATATTAAAGGAACTCCTTTCCGGTCCAAAAATCTAAAATCATTATAATATCTAAACTTATAACATAGATCACCTTGGGCAATCAATACAGAAATTTATGCAAAACAATTTAGCTATATTCTCAAAAAGAAATTCAAAATCGTTTATGTGAGGTATTTAAGCCCGATATTAGTGTGAAGCCGTGGAACACTTTTCAGATTTGGATCATTTTTATAATACGAATTTATATTCTTGAAAAAAAAAACAAAAAAAAACGGATACTGCGAAATAGTGTATGGATATGCGAAGAGTACGGAGCGAGGAAATTATCTGCAATTTTGAACACAACTTATTTGTCTAAAACCTACATAAAAACATCCAATCATGTCAACCAATTTTCGTGAAGTTCCTTTAATATTACTTATAATTGCAAAGCTTTCGTTTATAATATTACACAGACAAAGGATCTTTCATATTGCTCGATTCAGCAGCTACAGCAATGAAATTGCTTGTTCCTATGCAAAGTTTGTAATAAAAATTTGATTAATTACATTTACATGTATGAAATTTATAATTTCCATGGTTTTGTATAGCATTCATATGATATATTAAACATAATTTACTGAGATATCTGTATCAAGTAGAAATCCTTTCTAAAAGTTGTTTAATAGCAACCCGCTTTATTATCTTTAAGCAAAATATATAATTAAGATCATATTTAAATTCAATTACAGACGTAAACATATGAGCCGCTATTATAATTTTATAAATCGGTATAACATTTTTTTACCAAAAATAGTTGAAATGTCTAGTTAGAATTCAGATAATAAAAAACGCATTTCTTGGTATCTATGTCAGTTAATAATTTGTCATCAATAAACATTTATCTCTTTAGAGATTGTGCTATTTTTGGTAATCGTGTTTCCGATAATGACAGCAATACAATATTGAGACAGCAATAAACTATAGTACATTCTTCTTTTGAAATATGTAACTATTACAGACTCAAATAATTTATACAATGAGACTATGTTTAAGAAATAATATATCCCAAACTGTGATTTTATTGCTCAATAACATCACTGTTTGGAGTTCGGATGCGGGGAATTATATCACGAGGGCGTAGCCCGAGTGATATAATGATGCGCATCCGAACGACAAACAGTGATGTTATCAAGCAATAAAATCACCGATTTGGATATATTATTTCGATTCTAACACGACATCAACAAACAAAAGCTGCCGTACATGATAATTAGCTAAATGGCGAATGATTTGTTTCCGTACTTATTGTCAGCGCGTCACATTTTTAGTGGTTACGTCACGTGTATAATGATTACGTCACATGTCTAAATATAGAAAGTCAAACAGTGATTTTATAGCATAATAACACACACTTTCGGTTCTTCTATGTTCAATAGGTAAAAATGCGGGTCGTGTTAGAATAACAAATAACTCATTATTTTCAATGCACAATTTAGATAGCAAGCTAGATTGTTTACAGTGTGTACATTCTTTGATTAAAACAACCAAGAGAGTTAAAAACAATAGGACGTTCGTAACATATCGTTTTCTTACACGTTTATACTTTGTACATTTTAAAATAAAATGCTGTTCATCTTCAATGTCATTTGATCCACATACATGTACTTCGCAAACTCTCTCGCGCCTTTCTATCCTATTCTTTCCTTATCTACCGGACTCAATACGTTCTTTATGTGAATAGAGTCTAAACTTTGTTAAAACTTGTCTACACTTTTTTGGTCTAACAATACTCAGGTAATCCTCATACACAAAGTCTTGTTTAACATTCTTATAAACAAATAGAACACTATTGTTAGTCAAACTACTATTCAGTCTTGCACAAAAATATCTATCAACCGCGGCTTAAAACATGTAATGAAACAGTAAATATCACAATGTTGTGGTGATTCCCAAATAAAACCAGAAACAAAGGTATGTAATAATTTCTTAACGTTATGAGCCCAGTTTACATATTCATCTTTCAGAATCAAATCATATTTTTTTCTAATTACGCATTTTTTTGTATTCAAAATTTTAAACTCTGACATAGCGATAAATATATAAAGGAAAACAGGCAAGTTTACCTATAGACCTACATTACTAGTGGACAATGAATATGTTTACAAAATTTAAGATGTATTCTTTCAATTTATTGACATTTATGATCGCTGGTCTAGTTTGACTTTATTCAGAATAAACTGGTTAAATTAAAAACTTGAGCAAAAATACAACTGTTACAATTACGGTACTGATAACGATAAATTACACATTTATTTAAACCGCAACTGTATTCGTCTTGTTTAAGCATATTTGGAACATAAAATGCATCAGACAGTCTTAAATTAAAGAAAATATTTCAAAGTATTTGATGCAAATGAAAAACTTACCGTATAAACCTATTTTTAATTACACTGCAATTGTAGGATACAATTCGAATAGAATAATACAGAAAAGATGTTTATGCTACAAAAACACTGTCCATAAAGTGTATCATACTCAAACATATATTATAAGAATAAAAGAGACTTTAACATTCACAACATACATTTGATAAATAGTGGAAAAGAAACTGTCCGTTTATTAAATGCTTTGGAAAACGTTCGTTCTTAATATGGATGGCAGAACATGATATTCATTGAAACATAATTGTAATTTATTGTCAGCAGTATGTTGTTTTATAAATCATAATAACTGTTATGAATACAAGCACTAACTGCAAATTCCTATATTTGAGGAAAAATACCGGATGGTGGAGAAGTATAATTCACATAAAATTGTTTTTTTTTTACATCTGGAGAAACTAGAGTATGTAACTAGGATACATCTCATGTGACACATTTAACCCTTAGTCTGCTAAAAGCTTATGCAAATATTATTGATGCGTTATACTTAAATATCTGGTCTTGAAGCAAGGTTTAAATATAGGATGCTTAATAATGTTAATTTTGCCCATGTATTGCATTTAAATACATGCATATTTCAAAAGGGTTAACGATTTGATAAAAATGCAAAGAAACAATATATTTCTTTACATTTTTTCAAAGTTTGCTGATATGATTTTATTCACTTAGTTGTATTCTTAATAATGTATATACATGTATTTATAATACCTTTTCTTTCAATCATACAAATCAAATGTAAGACTTAGAAAAATAACGAAAAGTACACAATAAAGCTGCCTATACATACTTGCCGTCTGAGTGGTATCCCCAGGAATTTTGGCCTACGCCCGGTAGAAGATTGTCAGGATAGTCATCTGGCACAACGCCAATAGCTAGAATTTAAATATACTACACATTACTAAGTTCTATTTAAAAAATGTTTACAACTTATTTTTACGTGACGGAAATTAAACAGCAATAATCTTGTCAACTTAAATTAAGACGTGTTAATAAAAATAATCTAACTTTTCATTTATGGCAATACATTTTCCATTTAATAAGAAAAAGTCATGGACAATGTTTGTATTAAAAGGAAAAAGGCTAGACACAGCATTGTAAGAAATTAAACATAAATGTTATGTAAAGTATTTATTCCTAACATAGTAGGACCCCAAAATGCAACAAGAGTATGCCGTTCTTGCAAAAATGGTAATGTCGTTATCGTTGATTGATAATAGCAATACTGAGATTTCTTATCAAACTGACTTTACAAGCAAGGTGAATATTTATACAATAAGAATATTAATGTTACCTAAAGACCCGCTTTTACCCAAGCTTAATATCTCAATTTCAAAGGATGCTCTTGCACGCACATTCTCCTTGAACACATACAATCCAACATCAGTACTTTTGTATGCCGCATAACTGTAAACACATAAATGTGTACAGTTAATAATTATGATTGTATTTGAAATATTTGTGATTCTGTGTGTTACACCATATTTTTGCTGGTATATCAAATACTGTTCCTTTTTAGTATTTAATTTAATTTTAATTTGTTGAAAACTCTACGTTAGTTATTCAAAAAGTTAATTTAAAGTGCTAATAATTCACATTGATTTTATATAATTAGCAATGAAAACATAAAAATGGTATTGTTTGTAGTAATACAACAAGTTTATTTTTCATTATGCATGTGTAATACGAAAAAAGTTGATGTACAAATTTAAAGTCGGGTATTGCTATATTCCGTTTTAGAGTTTATATAATTAGCAAACGTATATTATTTACATTTTCATATCACTTTTTCCACATTTATGTGACATTTCTAAATCTGAACATAAATACATGTTAAATTTTTAAAGTTTTATGTTAAATAAAGGCCTTTAATTGTTATTAATTTTTCCATAAGTACATTTTAACTTAATTATATAGAACTGATATTAGAAATAAGTCATCATCTACATTTTAGTTTATACATACCTGAGACATTCGCAATCTATTTTTAGATTTTTGCAAATCAGTTTTCTGTCAAGTAATGGCTGCAAATGAAACACATAATGTATTGGTTAACGACAATTTAATAAACAACTGCTAAATCTATACATGTATTTGAAAAATCTATAAGCAAAATTATACATGAACAATTATTTAATTAAAAAAAATCCTCAATTTTAGCGTTTTTCTAAAATATGCAAAATTTAAATAAAATTTACATTGAAACGAACCTTCACGTATACTGATTTGCTCCTTTGGTGTCTTAAAGACCCCAGAACCATAAAAATTTGATGACGTTATATGTACAAAGAACCTGCGCTCTTTGTATGAAAATTTATTTGGAGGAATACATGTCATTGAAAGTTTGCTACGACGATACATGACTTTTTATCGCCAAAAGTGGCTAACGTTTTGTTTTGTTGTTTTTGTTTTTTGTTATTTTTTTTTAAAACAGCTTTGTTCAGTTAATTATCTTTAACATGAGAATATATGTTAGACTTTTCATAAGCATTACGCATTTACCTTCTAAGATTATTTAAACTATTGATCAAATAACCCCTTTTGTTCTTTCCAAATTACTTTATATTTGCAGCTGACTTGTTGCAGTTAAAGTTTAGGCCAAGTCTTAAGGTACATGTAGGTTTTACTCAAAACACATTATATAATATCAAAATACTTTATTAAAAGGTAGATTTGCCTAAAGCATAAGAAATGATCATTTAACTAAATTAGAATGTTTCTTATCTATACTATTAAAATGGTATTGTAGATTATATGTAATAGTTTTAGATCCACACGCATGTGATACGGTATACTATACCTTAACATGATTGCAATTAATCATACAATGTGTATGAATTTCTACTGTAAATGTTTATTGAATCTTAATTTTGGATTATAATCAAATATAATTTATCTGAACATGGATTTAATTATAATTATGTTGCCTAAATGGATATGACATACTAATAAATGCATTGATAAATCAATTGAACAAAAAGGAATTTAATCCAATTGAATAAATCGCTCCATCTTTCAATGCATAGGTATCTAAATTACATATTTCTGGAGAATTTGAAAGTGGTTCAAATGGTACAAATGATTGAATTTAGTTAAAAAGCAAACACAAACAAACAAATTAACAAAACAACATGTAAGGTATATCTCAGAAACATTATGTCCATATTGTTCTAATTCTTTAGAAATGTCAAATATGTGTATCATAATATTAAGATAATGGATTTATAGCAAACTAGATGTTTTACTGCAAAATAAAGTTGCACTGAATGTGTAGTAATCTGTCATAAATGTGGCTAAATGTAAACAGAGTAGTTATTTGACTTTAGTCCCTATGATTAATCCCGTTGCCAACAAAGCAATGGAAGTAAAGACGGTCATTCTTTGTGACAAATGACTATTATTCTTAACTGTAAGATACCAAAGTAAATAGTGCAATATAACAAATATAGATAGAATGAAATCAATCAGATATTCAACTGACAAGGACAGCCGGGGTTATATTGACCCTAGCATATATATAACAATTAAAACTTTTTTGGAACAAAATCACAGTAATTAAAATAGGTATTCGTTACCACGAAGTCACAAAATAATCATAATCAATCAAAATTTCATATGTAAATGACTACATTATAAACTATTCTATACACTTTTATAATTATAATATCCTTTGCAAACATCTGTTGGGTTGAAAAATTTAAATCCAAAAATATCAGATTTTTCGAAGAGGCGGTTTATGGTTTTAACTTGTATGTGAGAGATTTTGCCATCTATCAACATCGTTTTAAAAAAATCTAATATAACGGACATTTCATAAATTTAACAATGACTCTTTTAATCGAGCAAAATAATCTCAATGTTTGATGGATTAAAAAAAATTGTTCAATAATTTAAAAGTGACAAAGTAAAGTAACCTTATTATCGGTGTCCTGTTAGTAGGGAAGCTAACAATACGTTTTATAAATGATGCAAAATCTTCTATACAATATTTTAAACACAAACGCATAGAAATTATTAATATTATTTCATTCATTTATCACAATTAAAAGGTTGGCGTCAGTAATTGTTAAATTACCGTAAAAATGTGAAATAATATTGTAATCACAGCACGTCACTTAATTTCATAAAGCGCATTTTCCACCGCATAAACATTTAAGATATTAAATAACTCACCTGAAGATTTCGGGGCGCTATGACTTTCATCTTTTCTTTTCTTGTACACATCTCTGCTTCTTTCTCTATTGCAATTACACGTTTCAAGATTAGATAAAACTAATTCTAGACTTAAGCAAACATTATTATGCTGTTAAGACTTAAATTAGGATATTTTTAGAAACATGAATGTAAGTAATGCAAATCATTAGTCATAAAGTTTCATATATAGTATCAACCGTGCATGTTGACATGAATAAAAAGAAAACTAAATAATTAAGCATAAATATGGACACATTATCATAGTTCGTTGGTGATTTTTTTAAAACAATGCCTATCAAACACATTGATCAAAAGTATTCACTAAAAAGTTTTAGAAATATAACTTACCTATCCCTTTGTTTCTGCTTTCACTTTGTGTTTGCTATATAATAAATAAAGATGTTAGGAAAATTGTCCTCATTCATCATCTTATGATAATTATTTCTTTGAATAATCTTTGTTCAAAGATTGGATGCGACAATGTATTTAAAGCATTTTCTTCAGACAAATTTTAATCAATATCCATGATCAACAAAACAAATGTCTAATTATTATTACAAGATCACGAGTTCTTTTAGTAAAATAGTATGTGATATTTGGAAAAATAAAATATTTTGATTATTATCGAGCTAAATATAATAAAGCAACTATTCTGGTGATTGTCTTATCAATGTTAACAATGCTTACATATCATGAAATACCACTTTCGCCTTACTTCTCCGATGCCCTGTATAATAACTAATAAAAGGCCATTGCTTTGTCTTATGTATCTTGGGAGTTGGTACAAATATATTGAAAAAGTACTATGTTAACAGTATATCATCTTTATTGCAAAATATTTAAGGGTATTTTCCTCAGGCGGTTATATATTCTAACATTATTTTCATCAATAATAACTACATTTTTAAGAACACGGTAGTCCATTTTATGGACAGAACCAGAATAATTCAATTTTGAGCTGTATCGTGACTCTTGTCTCGGCATGTATCCATACAGTATTACGTGTCTAAGAAAGCATATTTTATTTTATTTTGTTGTGGGCACTTTTCTTGTTGCCATTATTACAGCCTAGAATTATACATTTTGTTGCTGTATGTTCCCTTTTTTCTTATGTTCTGTAATTTAAAGCATTTTCCATGTCACCACTTCAAAATCTCAAAGGAACTTCAAAGAGATTTTTTAAATAAGTCGACTAACCTGAGGTAAAAGATCTTTAACTTGCCCTTCATCAGCTGATTTAGCTTGTTTAAATTCATGTAGATGCTGTTCACCTAAAATGTACGAATTACCATTATACTAAAGAAAACATCGTAAACTAAATATGATTTCTCAAATGAACAGCTGAACAGCAATTAAAAATTAAAAACAAAACGAGTAATGAGGTACGAGCTAGATGATTGTTAAATGAATGCAAAAGATGTTTAAGTTATGATAATTGGCAACAGTATCGAATGTGGTTTTTACGTATCTTTTTCTTATTTATTCCTATAAATATGATATTTATAATAAAAATTAAAATAATGGGTAAACAAAAAAACTTACTCCGTTCAAACGGCTGTTCAATGAGCATCCCAATCACCTTGCTTTCTGTTATTGATTGAGCTAGAATTTTGTCTTGCATGAACTTATACTGAGTCACATGGTTTTTGTTTCTTAAACTTTTAATATTTTGCTGAGTCTTTTTCAGTTCTGGCTTTATCAGTACGACTGCTACAAAGAGGTTATTTGGAGTGTCAATTTTTGACTCAAGTACATTGTTTTGGCGTGCCAATTCAGCTTTTAAGCCGTCGATATCTTTCTGTAAATCTTCCATTTTCCTCTTGTCTTTCAACATAATGTCCTTCGCCTGATTCAGAACCTTCTTTTTCATTTTATTTATACGCTCAATTACATGATCTGTGAATGCCTCCACGTCACGAACAAATTGCTCATAGAACTCGGTAAGCTGTTTTCGGTTGCAGTCTATCAATGATAGACTGTCTTCAGCCTCGTGCATGCATTCATTCATCTCATTTCTAAAATTTCTATATTCTTGACTGTTAACAAATGTAGCAGCTTTGTTACGAATGAGTTCCAACCTGCATCCATTGTGATATTCAATTATGCATTCTGCACAGCCAACTTGGTCGTGCTTTGGACAATTAAATTTCACAGATTCTGCATTGTGCTCTTGGCATGTTTCATACGTATCAGCAACCATTACCGTTACTGGATTCGAATCATCGACTCTTACTAAGGAATGATTTCTATTAATTTTACGTCCTTTGTGTTTCACAAAACATGAATTGCAAATGTTTACTTCACATTCTACGCAAAACCCATCCGCATTAGTTGTAATATCATAATCGTCACATAAACTACACATTTTGGCATCTTGGTCTTTCGTCTCCTTTTGACCAGCAACTTCCATAATTTTGTAACAACACCGTACCTATAAGACGTGAAATATAAAGATGCATTCATAAAAGAACTAGACATATAGTGTATCCTTTGTATATCAATTATTATCTGTTTATACAAACATACTTTATACTGTCATAAAATTAGTCTCAAAATTGATAACCATGCTGTCAATTCTTCATTTATGGAAGATACATCAAACATGTTTTGATTATGTAGCTTGGGAACATTTTAATACTTCCTAAAATGCATATGGTATAAAAGTATTGTTTTGAGTTTATATTTAGTTAAACGGAATTGAGTTGTGCAAAAATCTGACAGATATACAGAGTATAACATTCCCGTCATCTGAAACAATTTTCTTTGTTAGTCAATTTAATGGTTTTCCTTTAAATATTTCTTTATATATTTTATCAGTCAAATGCAATATATGAATAAAACAAAAAAGCGCAGTTGTGTATAGTTTTCATTTTCACGAATTCTCAAATCAAATATTGTCCATACAGAAATCTTTTCCTGTCACATTAACTCTTAACATTTACAATAAAAGAGCCATAAAGTGAGTTCATGCATTGAATGCAAAAATATAAAGCTGATACTAATGTTGTATTTATACACGTTTGAAAACATGTATCAAATTGTAATTGAATGTATAATAAGCCTTTATTCGTACTGCAGTTTGCGGTGAATTACAAACATATATTCAATCATTCGAACAAATATTATTGACTTATGCGCCATTGAATTCAAATGATGCGATATTCGCCGGATTTTGACATATTAACTGTAACTCACTTGTCAAACATTGTTTTATTAATATATGAAACGGCTAAGCCAAAAATAAACACAACATTTAAAGCGTTCTAAGAAAAAAGAACAACAAAACAAAAATGTTTCCTGTTTTAATTCCTGTCAGACGTACTGCATAAACCTTCTGAAAACTTTGCAAACCAAGGCAATTAGTTTTATACTCGTCATTTAACTATGGTATTTTTTTCGAGATATATACCATAAAAAACAGCACATATTTTTATTCATATAGGTTTTATCTTTCCAATGTATTCTCCATAACCATTTAAAACGATCATTAATAGTAATGAAGTTCGAAACCCTTAATTAATTAATATACATTACACTATTTCGGAAGTTTTTTTTTATTGCAAAATAAACAACATTGATTTTTTACATTAAATTGCGCACCTTTTTAATATTTGTTTTCTTTATTCTTGTCAATTGATTCTCCTACTCAAATCATCATTTCATCAGTATTCGGTATAAAATCAATTTACGTTAACTTTATTGAATATTCTTTAATTGATATCTACGTAAAATGTCCTACTTCTCTCCTACATATGATTTTACACGTGTTCTTATGTTTTGTCTTGTAAATATTGATATTTGTTTGATCTGAATACACACCTTTTCGTATTTCAACGTTAAATTCTGAATGAATTCTACATAATAAAAGTAATGTAGAATGACAAGTATTGTTAAACCATAGCTCTTCGATGGTTTAAGTGTGGTTAAAATCCCAAATAAATGAGCGCAAAAGTAGTATCGTATGTTTTTTTTTTCGAAATATGAAACATGTTCAACATATATATTGCCTTACCTGTCACAAAATCCGTAAATAATTCATTACTCAAACAAAAACCGACATGTTTGTATACAAAAAGACTGACGAGAACAATTCTTAATAAGAAAGTTTTCTTTACAGTTATTAACTTCATGATTGTATGCATAATAATAACATAATGATTCAAAACATTGAGTATATGCTTAATTATGATAAGTTTATTTTGCTAATAAACTATTTATTTCCTTATGCTTTCAACATGTAGTTACTTTAAACTATCTCTCATAAAACTTCTTTGTGTATTATCATAAGGCATTTTAGCGGTGCTATTTGTGTTTACTTTTTTTGTCCATGGACCCGATTTGAATCAATTTTTATATTTTAATTCACCAATTAGTAGATCGATCTCCCAATACATCAATTAACAACAGCTCTTATTTTTATTACCAATGTCAATTAGCCTTTATATCCTTGAATCGCACGAACATGATGTTAGTGAATTTCCTCAAACCTGTCTAAAATTCAGAGAACAGTCTTTCTTTATATTTAAGAAATAATATATCCCAAACTGTGATTTTATTGCTCAATAACATCACTGTTTGGAGTTCGGATCCGGGGAATTATATCACGAGGGCGTAGCCCGAGTGATATAATGATGCGCACCCGAACGACAAACAGTGATGTTATCAAGTAATAAAATCACCGATTTGGATATATTATTTCGATTCTAACACAACAACAAATAAATGCTGCCGTGAATTATAATAAGCTTAATTGCGGCCTGATTTGTTTCCGTACTTATTGTCAGTGCATCACATTTTTAGTTGTTACGTCACGTGTTTAATGATTGCGTCACATGTCTAAATATAAGACGTCAAACAGAGATTTTATAGCATAATAACACACACTTTCGGTTCTTCTATGTTCAATAGGGAAAAATGCGGGTCGTGTTAGAATGATAAATAATGTTCACCATATAACGTGTATAACAGACAAAAATTCCTGAATTTGGTCTTTTTGAAATTTATCCCATTTTTTTTCTTCCAGTGTGTGTTCTACTTTCACTATTTATCTGGGACTTACATATAACTAATGTATCTTAAATCCCAGGTATTAATAGAAACCTTTTTTTTAATTTGACATGTAAACAAATGCATGTAATATTACTATATTAGTTCCTTTTGTTACTATTTGTATATCTGTTACACTTATGATAATAAAGAAACATACTTTGTCCATTTTGATTACTGTTTTGTATGTTTCAAAGAAAAAAACATTAAATATTCTTATCTCTAGCAAGCCTACCAAAGTTCATGATGAACAATGTCTTTTGTCCTCCCATTTATCTATGATATACAATTCTGGTAAAATCCAATTAACCATTGAAAAATTTATTAGGATAGCTAGTTATCAGATGTTATCCGGAATAATGTACAATAGTACTTTATCTGAATAGAACATGACCTGTGCGTATGAATGATTTGGTAAGATATCTGTAATGAGCGCATTTTTGCGCTGAGCTTTTCAAAACATTTGTACGTGTAAGGTGTATTGTTGACACTATGTTTCCGGGTTAATAAGTCTTTTTGTATTAGCATTTGTATTGTTTATAACTGTGCATACATCATGTTATTTTGAAACAAACATTATAGAAGTTGGAGGTAAATAATGTTAAATAATTTAGTGGACATAAATACGATTTGATAAATGAGTCGATAGAGAAAAAAACCTGATCATACATCTATCAATTGAAAATAAAACCCTCAGTATATAAACATACGTAAAATATCATATTTAAGTAAAGCAAACACTAATGATAATCAAAAGTCTTATTTCTCGCTTTATAAGTTTTGAATAGCTGTTTTATCAAACGGTTTTTTATGTGTTAACATACATCCACTAAATACTTTGAATAGAAATCACTGATATACCTAAAACCTTTATTGCGTATGATTTTAAACTTGGATAAACTTTTTTCTCTACTTTGAAGACAACATACATTCGTCAAATTGTGTTATCATCAACTGATTATTTAGTGATATAAAAATGTCTGATAACACATTATGTCAGTCGTCTTACTAAATCATCGTTGAGGTGTTATTATAATTTATGGAAGTGTATGTGACCAACGAAGTTTTCAATATAAAGTATGGTATAAATTTTAAATGCATGCCTGCTATTAAACGTCCTGGTTTAATACCCCGGTCACATATTCATGGTATACGCCCACGGAAGAGCCACGGATTAATTCCGGCATCTTCCGTAGCTACCCGTACTGGTAGTTTTAG